TTTACTTTTCCTTCAGTAAATGTTCAGGCCCAGGCATGTAGAAAACTTGGGCCAGGTCGTCAGCAAAGTCCAGGTCATCCTTTACTCTGTTGACAGTGTATCCAGCAACTGTAGTTATATTTGTCCCCAGCTGTGGTTATATTTATCCCAGCTGTGGTTATAAATATCATATGTGTGTGTGTGTGTGAGTGTGTGTGTGTGTGTGCGTGCGTAATTTAGCTTTATATCATATATTATGTTAAAGTAAAACAGTGAAGGTCGGTAATTTTCTACGTATTATAATAAACCATAAGAGGTTTCGATCCACGTCCCATCTAATAATTTATTCAAGCCTACAACACGATATCACGGAGTGATATGTAGTTTCCATTGGTGTGGCCCGCATTAGTCAGTTATCGCTGGCATGTTGGGAGGTGCATTGATCTTTGTCTACCCCACATGTGTGAGGTGGGTGTGGGGAGAGGGGTCATAAGGAGTGGATAAAGAGAAGGGAGGGTGTAAGGAGGGAGATGGTATACAGGAGAGGTGTGGTAAGATGGGTAGAGAGGGGAGGATAAGGAGGGAAAGGTAAGTAAGGATACAGAGAGGGGAAGGTAAAGATGCAAAGGGTGGTTAGAGAGAGAAAAGTATACTTTTAAAGTGAATACGGAGACAAAAAGGGTGTGTACGTGTATGGAGGTGAAGAGGTGTGGTATAGTAAAACGAGGGGTGGGTAAAGCGAGAGAGAGGGGTTGTGTAAGGAGGAAGGGTGATCGATAATGAAAGTCTGGGTACCGCTGCCCTGAAATATCGATCTAGTGGTCTCCGCCGTCAGGATTAGGACTTCATATTGTAAACAATCTGCCGACAGATCTCGCTATGTATTGTCATGGTATGCTGATCTGAAGTGAAGATTGGCCAATGTTTTATTGTAAGCTGATGAATGGTTGGGCCAATAGAGTGTTAATATAACATCTCGAGGCTTAGAGTAATCTTAACGGAGGTCTATACACAGCCGTGAACATTGAATATTTCAGCATGAGGTCAAGTAACTGGGAGATCTGTAAGGTTAATTAATTAAGGGTTTTGTGTCATGTCCAGTAACTGGGTTTCTGTGTCACGTCAAGTAATTGGAATTTATTTGTCACGTCAGTAACTGGGATTCTGTGTCACGTCGGTAACTGGGGTTCTGTGTCACGTCGGTAACTGGGGTTCTGTGTCACGTCGGTAACTGGGGTTATGTGTCACGTCGGTAACTGGGGTTATGTGTCACGTCGGTAACTGGGGTTATGTGTCACGTCGAGTAACAAGAGCAAAGCGGCACGTAGAGTATTTGTGGGTGGATGTCATGTCAAGGCTATAAAAGTGTCACGTCGAGCTACAAACGTGTCACGCCAGCCACAAAAGTGTCACGCTAAGCAACTGCAGTTAACTTTCAAGTCGAGTGTATATGGATCTATGTCTCTGAGGTCAGCGCCACATGAAGCAGACAATCCTAACAATGTCGTATAAATAGCGCTAAAATCCCTGCCACTACATACTAGCAGCATTGACCATCAACTCCTCTAAACATTTTCTCCTGAGCTGGTAGAAAGCTCTAGAAAAAATAAGCGTTCGTCCAACAGTACATGCCGTAGATTCTTGTTCCCGCATGCTTGTAGCTTTAAAATCTGACTTGATCTTCTCCAGAAATCAATCAATGAATTGCTGTTGGCAACCATTGAACGACAACACTTTGTGGTTATTTTTTCTTTATGTAATGGTGGGGTCGAGTGGGTGGTAACTTGAAAAGAGTTTGGCGTCCGTGTTCGAGTCTGTAAGTTTGTTCACCAGCACACCTCTAAAGGGTAGCTGACAAGTGGATGTGTGTGCTGCTGTGTATTTAGCTGATCACTAACTTCATCAGCTGTGGTCAGAGAAATTGTTCAACTCTTCTTCCTCTGCCCTCTAGTGTTTCATGCTCTACAAAACTATTATTACTAAAAGTTTACATATACTTAATCATAAAATGAATCATATACATACTTGAACATATGAACTTTCTCACATGTATACTTGAACATATGAACTTAAACACACATATATTTGATCACAAAAATGTATCACACGTGTACTATGTGTTTGAAACTTAGGGCCAACCTTATCTCAAACTGTATCAACCATCAAATATTCATTAGATCGCGTCAGCGTTATGATAAGCAAATATTTGCATTCTGTTTTCTTCCTAGCTTGCAATGAATAAAAAATGTGTCTATTGAGTACTTGGTTTTGTTTTCTCCCTTATTCCTTAAATAATAATTTTTTTAGTAGCTTTGTTGTTGCCATGTCGAAGAAAAGATTATCACAATGTTCCTGTTTTTATACAAGACGTACGTTTTTAAAAGTAAGCACGCAAACATATTTATCTTTCAGACTTAACTATTAAAATAATGATACTCACTGCTTTAGTGGTGAGGCAATTAATGTCTAGAGTATCCTACAACATCAATAGTACTAGAGTGGTGATCTGTTACATGTCTGTAGGACAACACTGGTGACAATATGACAATACTGGTGGCCATGTCTATAGGACAATCTCAGTGGTGACCTACAAGATGTCTATAGGACAATCTCAGTGGTGACCTACAAGATGTCTATAGGACAATCTCAGTGGTGACGTACAACAGGTCTATAGTTGCAGGTGATCACCTAGATATGCACACAAAAATAAAAACACTAAGGCCCCTTTAACCCGTGCTCCATCATTGTCAACCAATCTTCAGTGAGTTGGTTGCCTGGAGACAGTAAACAACCTATTGCAGCAGTTACTAGATTAGAGTTCAGGATTAGCTTACAACGACAAACAATACTTAACCACTCAAACATTCTAATGAGAATCAGTTTCAAATTTACACTGTTTAACATTTACATCTAATTCATTTAACACGTAAACTTAAAATCATGCTTCTTTTATTTATTTGTTACACTAGTTTGATACAATGTCAAATTAAATATGTATCTACACGCATATATGTTTTATATTCAACTGTACCCCTATTGTGGAATATAAATAAGCATGCATTTTGTACGTTTTGTTTCATACTACTATATCATGGCCTAGTTTATGTGTAACTCTATATTATAATACAACATAAAATTGTATCATAACCTAGCTTGTGTGTACATTTTAGTACATTATAATACAACATAAAATTGTATTATCGTCTATCTTATGTGCAGATTTTAGTCCATTATAATACAGCAGTAAATTGTATTATCGTCTATCTTATGTGCAGATTTTAGTCCATTATAATACAACAGTAAATTGTATCATGACCTAGCTTGTTTGAACATGTCAAGACGATTATAATCAAACAACACTGTCTGTTTTTCTCCAGAAATCCAAGAGCCTTTGAGAGCTTGGTGTTGTGAAAAAACACGGTTATATATTTGATCATTTTCATTGTTGTGGTCTATGTTGATTATGACGGAAACATGTGTCCGCTAAGATATTAACACATCACTAACTACAACATCAGAGTAGTACCCAACGTTACAGTATTAAAATAAAGTACATGTGCGTAGGGTAAAAATATATGTGTTAGAAAATATACTGGTTTGTCAAAAATTCTTCCCGAATTAATTAGTTTTTTCGTTGGTTCTTTAAGTTCAATAAAACTAAGAAACGTGTTCTAGACTCCAGTATTTAAAATATTTTTAAATATTTTTAAACAGCTGATTATAAACTTCTGCAGTCGTATATTTTAAGTTTTTTTTTTGGTTAAGTTTGTATTCAAAAAAATTTCCACACACTAAATTAAAGGGCGATAATTATTGTTTCGTCACCAACAAATTTACCACAATAGTTCCCCTTTCTTTTTTAAATCCTTCATCTAGGTGTAACAGCTAGACCAGAAAGAACGTTGTCACATTTTCTTGATCAAATGTCACATTTACTTGTTCAAATGTCACATCTACTTGTTCAATTAACTCGTTTAGACCGTTACATCAAATATTACAGAAAAGTTTGTTCACAAAAAACCTCTAAAATAAAAGTACTACAAGATAAACTTTCTATTGACCAAGACTTTAGGATAGTGTGTTTCATTTAAATAAAATATATTTTAAAGAAATAAACATATGTAGCTGCCACAAGTATATATTTAATCTACTTAAACAACTACTCGCTATGCGTCTACTGATCAATAGTTCCTGTGTTATGTTAAAACGGCGACGATGATTATAGATCATCATACACGTAAATCACCGTAAATCGCCGTAAGTCGCCGTAAATCGCCGTAAGATGTATTTAATTGCCACAATAGTTACGAAATTGCCGACAGAGTTACGACAACTTGGCTATTACTGTGCCCTATAATACAATGTTCGCCTATTTCACTTACTGTCCGATAAAAACAGAGCGTGATTTTAAAACTGTTTTACTTTTCAATTACAAACAATTTTTTAACAGCGGAGTTGACTCGATGTAGTAAATAAATGGCATAATACGTAAAATTATGGTTAATCTCTACTATTTGCTTATTGGTTTTTTCGAGAGAAACGTCGTCTAGGCAAAATATAACTACTAGTTCCTATAACATTAAATTACAACATTTTAGAAGTCATTGACAATCAACATTTACACAGCCACAAGATTTGTTGTATAAACACACTTTAATTATCCACTAATAGTGTACCATTATAGGCATCATTTGTTTTTAAACATTAGTCTTTTATATTTATATATTAAAAAGTTAAAATACACTTTAAAGACTGGTCATCTTTATGACTAAAGCCAAATTATAAAGTGAATGCAATAGTTTTCTAAACTTTGAGAACAAAGATTCATGATCGTGATTGATGTTTTAGATTGTTGTCTAAACCCCGACGTGAGAAACGGCTCCACTGCCCGGCTGTTCTAGACTGGTGTTGAAGTGACGACATCGAACGGCTCCAGATCTGTTTTAGATAACTGTTGAAGTGACGACATTGAACTTAGGAACGGCTCCAGATCTGTTTTAGATAACTGTTGAAGCACCGATATGGAACCCAGGAACGGCACGAGTTCTGGAAGTGTGACGCCATTGCTACCAGACGAGGCCCAGTTCTACATCAACATTTGGCTTGTCATCGTCGCCCGTACGTCACTCGCCGCCTTCGGTGTGGCCTCCAACATGGTTAACCTGACCGTCTTCCTGCGCCTGGGTCTGAAGGAACGGGTCAACCTGACCCTCTTCTGCCTCTCCGTCTGTGACGCGGCAACCTGTCTTTGCACGGCCGTCGTGGCAGCAAACTATGTCCTGGTGTTCCGGAACTTTCGAGAAGGTATCGACCCTTCCACCCTCGTCCTCTTCTTCTCCTGGTTTCGTTGCCTGTTCGCAGACGTGGCGACGTCATTGACGGTTTTCATCTCCATCGAGCGTTGCTTCTGCATCACCAGCCCTTTCGTCTTCAACGCCAAGTTCAGCGTTACAAAAACACGAACAGCTTTAGTACTGATAATTCTATTTATAGTCATCAACTACATTCCGCTGTACGGAAGTTTTAAACTCGAACAAACAATTGATATATCAAGTAATACAACCATAACAACTTTCGCCGTCACGGAGTTCTATTTAAAGATAACCATGTACAACGATTACGTATTGGGTATTTTCCTGGCTATAATTTGCCTCATCGCCGTCTTCGTGTGTGCGGTGCTTATGCAAATCGGTCTCAGAAAATCTTCAGAGTTTCGCAACAACGCTGTTAACGATTTCAAGATTTCGGCCTCCGAAGTTTCGGGAAAATCCAGAAAAAACGGGTATTCCAGACAAGATAGAAAAATAGTGCGAATGGTGTTAACATTAGCTTGTCTATATATGACGACAGCTTTGCCACAGATCGCGATTTCTTTGGCTAAAGTTATGTTCCCTGAATTATACAGCAGTGCCCTGATAAATATTTACTACACAGTAATGGGCGTGGGGCATATTTTTCTCATAGCCAACGGGTCGCTCACCATCTTCATTTATTACGCTTACAACTCCAGTTATAGAGGTGTGTTCAAGAACAAATTTTTCTGACTTACAACTCCAGTTATAGAGGTGTGTTCAAGAACAAATGTGTCTGACTTACAACTCCAGTTATAGAGGTGTGTTCAAGAACAAATGTGTCTGACTTACAACTCCAGTTATAGAGGTGTGTTCAAGAACAAATTTTTCTGACTTACAACTCCAGTTATAGAGGTGTGTTCAAGAACAAATGTGTCTGACTTACAACTCCAGTTATAGAGGTGTGTTCAAGAACAATTTTTTCTGACTTACAACTCCAGTTATAGAGGTGTGTTCAAGAACAAATGTGTCTGACTTACAACTCCAGTTATAGAGGTGTGTTCAAGAACAATTTTTTCTGACTTACAACTCCAGTTATAGAGGTGTGTTCAAGAACAAATGTGTCTGACTTACAACTCCAGTTATAGAGGTGTGTTCAAGAACAAATTTTTCTGACTTACAACTCCAGTTATAGAGGTGTGTTCAAGAACAAATGTGTCTGACTTACAACTCCAGTTATAGAGGTGTGTTCAAGAACAATTTTTTCTGACTTACAACTCCAGTTATAGAGGTGTGTTCAAGAACAAATGTGTCTGACTTACAACTCCAGTTATAGAGGTGTGTTCAAGAACAATTTTTTCTGACTTACAACTCCAGTTATAGAGGTGTGTTCAAGAACAAATGTGTCTGACTTACAACTCCAGTTATAGAGGTGTGTTCAAGAACAAATGTGTCTGACTTACAACTCCAGTTATAGAGGTGTGTTCAAGAACAAATGTGTCTGACTTACAACTCCAGTTATAGAGGTGTGTTCAAGAACAAATGTGTCTGACTTACAACTCCAGTTATAGAGGTGTGTTCAAGAACAAATGTGTCTGACTTACAACTCCAGTTATAGAGGTGTGTTCAAGAACAAATGTGTCTGACTTACAACTCCAGTTATAGAGGTGTGTTCAAGAACAAATGTGTCTGACTTACAACTCCAGTTATAGAGGTGTGTTCAAGAACAAATGTGTCTGACTTACAACTCCAGTTATAGAGGTGTGTTTAAGAACAAATGTGCCTGACTTACTTACAACTCCAGTTCTAGAGGTGTGTTCAAGAACAAATGTGCCTGACTTACTTACAACTCCAGTTCTAGAGGTGTGTTCAAGAACAAATGTGCCTTGTGCCCTAGTATAAATAAACTCGCCATCTGACAGTAATATATGCCTATAATGTTGTAGATAAATGTGAATCTATGCATCGCCAAGCCACGCAGGACATGGTTGGAGCAGGAGAGGGTTGTAGCAGGACATGGTTGGAGCAGGAGAGGGTTGTAGCAGGACATGGTTGGAGCAGGAGAGGGTTGTAGCAGGAGAGGGTTGGAGCAGGAGAGGGTTGGAGCAGGAGAGGGTTGGAGCAGGAGAGGGTTGGAGCAGGAGAGGGTTGTAGCAGGAGAGGGTTGGAGCAGGAGAGGGTTGTAGCAGGAGAGGGTTTTAGCAGGAGAGGGTTGTAGCAGGAGAGGGTTGGAGCAGGAGAGGGTTTTAGCAGGAGAGGGTTGTAGCAGGAGAGGGTTTTAGCAGGAGAGGGTTTTAGCAGGAGAGGGTTGGAGCAGGAGAGGGTTGGAGCAGGAGAGGGTTGTAGCAGGAGAGGGTTGGAGCAGGAGAGGGTTTTAGCAGGAGAGGGTTGTAGCAGGAGAGGGTTTTAGCAGGAGAGGGTTTTAGCAGGAGAGGGTTGGAGCAGGAGAGGGTTGGAGCAGGAGAGGGTTGTAGCAGGAGAGGGTTGGAGCATGAGAGGGTTGGAGCAGGAGAGGGTTGGAGCAGGAGAGGGTTTTAGCAGGAGAGGGTTGTAGCTTTTGGTGAGACGTTGGCCCCATGGGTTTTGGAATAAGCCACCAACGGACAAGGACATTACAAATTAATCATGAACAAGGTGGGGATGTAACATTAGAAAACCATGGTATTGACCATGTAGACAGATGTGTCAGTCTTGGAGGTGTGGTCAATGTGTTGGGAGAACAGACGAGGACGTCATAGGTAGAGTGGACTTGGCCCGACAGTCATTTGCTAGTCTTAGGGGAGGGAGGAGGGGACTGTAGGTCGTCAGGCATCTCAAAAGAAATTAGATTATGTATCTTTAACTCAAACATAAAAACAGTAGCCTACTGCTCTACGAGTCCGGTACATGGAAGAGAGGCGACAACGAAGATTCCAGACATTTGATGATGGAGGCTCTTGTGAGTAAGTTAAAAGTCAGGCAGGAAGTAAGTGATAAAAGGCGGTGTCAGTGGGAGATGTGTGAACCTGTAACAATAAGGGGCGGTGTCCGTGGGAGATCAAAGGGCGATGAATTGAGCACACGCTTGGGTTGGTCTCTGGCAATAGTCGCAGAGATCTACCAGGAAGACATGGCGCTGTAGCGTGCTGGAGGAAGCCGAAATGATAGGTAGAATTGGGCACATCTGAAAGTAGTGTCAGGAGAGAGTGGAACAATTTGCAAACCATTTGTTTGAGGGATTCAACTTTATTTATCTAACCCTGTCAGCCGACTAAATTCAATTTAATGTAATATGGTAATTAAAATAAGCCAGCTCATAGTTTTCTTAAACCTTTAATTAATCAATAAGTGCGATATAAAATACAGTTTCTTTTTTTTTTATTTAACAATATAAGGTAATACGTTCTGCTTTAAAGGCATATCCATAAAAAAAATTCATAAAAAAACGTTTTAATAACAAGCTTTTATGTAATACTGGACTAAAAAGTAGAAAATAAATTGTAGACTACTATTTAAATAACTATAAAGAAAAGCGTAGGTCACTTTAGTATCTATTGGATACCTTTACTAATGTTATAGTAGTCTATAATTTATTTTCTACTTTTTAGTCCGTTATTACATAAAAGCTTGTTATTAAAACGTTTTTTATGAATTTTTTCTCAGTACTTTACATGTTTTATTTACAATAGAGTTACATGACTAAAAACCATTGCGCGCCTACTGAACGTGATGGCGCAGCCATTGAACGTGATGGCGTAGCTATTGAACGTGATGACTCGTGTGGTGTGGTTGGATAGACATGCCTACTAATTCGGTCCAAATTTTAATTAATACATAAAAAATTAATTAGGCATCCAATTAAGTCAAATTTAATTTCAGATTGCATTGTCTTCATGTCTTGACCCACGTGTCAACTGTGAATCGTATCGGTCAAGTAGAAGTGACCGAATTTTCACTCCTGCGTTTCGATCTAGACTGACGACAGACAGACTGACGAGGAAGTGAGTTAAATAAAAGCTTGTAAGAATACATTTTATATTGATTGTGGCATATTGATCTTAGAGTAATACGATCTTCCCCGATACGATAAAACAATAGTAGACAGGCAACATGTACTTACTAGAAGAAACAATATGAAAGTTGGGGAGAAATGAGTTGGGAGTGGAGTGGGATAAATGTGTGGGTTGTTGACAGAGGGTTGGCAGAGTGGGGTGTGTAGGGGTGAGACAACAGGGATGTAAGGGAATTAGGAGAGGTGATTGTGTAATACATAAACTAATAAACAGAAGGTCAACTTTTTAAAGAGAGTTTTAGATACCTGTAGGCGATGTGGAAATATCAAGTAGGGACTGGAGAGAAAAAAGTGGAATAAAATCTTTCGTGTTCAAAATCATCATAGTTATATTTTAAATGTCGTTAGAATTGACATTTTTAAATAATATAATAGTAAAAGCAAAATGTCAATTACTGCTTTGGGGGTTTGAGACAAACCCACATACTGACAAGAAGAAACAGTGACAGACAAACAAACAGATCGACATACAGACACACGAACACACAGACATATACATTCAGATAGACAGACAAACACACAGACAGATACAAGGCTATCCAGATAGAATGACAATAAATTCTTTAACATTTAGAAATGTAACAATATAAAGCATAATTTTATAACATTTAAAAATGTAACAATATAAAGCGTAATTTTAGAAAATGAAAAGAGAGAGCACAAAAAAATATTTTTCGTTGCACCATTGTTTGTATTCAATCTTTATACTACTAAAACTCAAGTGTGTTTACATGTTTGAATATTTATTTGTTTGTTGTTTTTTTTTTTTGTCTGATTGGCTACTGGAGAGAATCTGCTCTATATGTAAAGCTGTAAAATAGTATGTAGGTAGAGTACAATTTTTGTTTTCAGACAGACTGTTAATCACAAATTTATTTAAAGACGTTAATTAATGTATTGATTTATTCATTGGTAGATTAACCACATTAATTATAAAAGTTTCAAACAGTGGCTTTACTTTGACTGAATAGTGACGTCACGTGATTTGTTTACTTTTTACATCAACAATGGCGGCTTCTATCGAAGAAGATTGTGTTCCCATTCCAATGTTTAACGCGTTCTCAAGCTAATTTTCTGTCGGCTATAACTTTAACAATACGTCCGTTTGCTGAATTTTTTTCGTTCCAACACTTCTATCAATTTTCAACTGTCTTTTTCATTTAGTTTTACAATAAATTTCTCTAGACCTACAGATCAGCTGTCGAAGGAAGAAAAAGTTATGAATCTAGATCTAGATCTAGGTCACTAGACTTTACGTACACTTTAGATCTAGACTTAAGGTAAATTATACATCTAGAATCTATTACAGACCTTCATTATTTTATATAAATCTTTGTTTGTTTAGCTATGCAATTGGCTAATTTAAGATAAAATTTAATTTGAAAGTTACTAGACAGTGAAGTAGGTATTGTAAGGGCTGTAGTAAATTCCAAGCTTACTGACCACTTACATTTTCGGCTTGTTATTGTTATTACACACTGGTATAGTTCATGTAAGGACGTGGTAATACACAGAAGTAGTTGGTGTAAGGACGTGGTAATACACACAGAAGTAGTTGATGTAATGGCGTGATAATACACACTGAAATAGGTGATGTAAGGGCGGGTAATACTTACAAAAATAATTGATGTAAGGACGTGGTAGTACACACAGAAGTAGTTGATGTAAGGACGAGGTAAGAAATACAGGTGATGTAAGGACGTGGTAATGCACACTGAAGTAGGTGATGTAAGGACGTGGTAATACACACAGAAGTATTTGATGTATGGGCTGTGGAGAGCTATTGAGTCTAGACTGACTGACCACTTACATTCACGTTTATAATTACACACTGAATTGGACGATGTAAGGGCTGTACACAAGTAGAGAGTTGATCGCCGAAGTGGGTACCACGTGATCAAAGTCGCAGCAAAACGTCCCGTCGATGTAGATGAGGAACTTGTCCTGCCTCACTAGGATGTGGTGGTTGACCGTTCGGTTGATGACGTATTTCCCTATGGTCAAGGTCTTAGGATGACCCCAGGTTCCATTAATTCTGGTGGCCATGTCAACGAATAAGTTTCCTTTAGAGTCAGGGCGAGTCCTGAGTAGCAGGTTGTAATTGCTCCAGTCGATGAAAAAATACAGTAGGATTCCAGCATTAGTGCTAAATTTGGCTGACAATTCAACCTAATTTAAAAAATAAAAATAAACATTATTTAAACACATCATATTTTAAAATATAAGGAATATTCATTTTATTTCAGTTATGTGAATTACTTTCAAAGTTTCTTATAGATTCACCGATAATGACAACGTAAGAATGTTTCATGTTCTACCTAGTCGTTTGTTATGACTATCATTGTTTTACTCTCTGAATTTAAATATTTTCATTTCGTTTACATTTCATCATCGAATTCACAAATATCTGTGTAAGAATATTTTAAAATCAATGGGATATTGCTACTCGCCATTAAAATTACCAAATAGCTCAAATTTGTTTAGGCTAATTACAATAATAGACCGAGATGGATACAAAAAATTCCTCTAATTATGTAAACGATGAACATTGCTACTCAGACGATTAAATTTGTATTCCTGACATTTCTAAAGAACCTGTATATATATATATATATATATATATATATATATATATATATATATATATATATATATATATATATATATATATATATATATTATATAGCATTATACGTACCAGAGAGCCAACTGTTAAACCTTTTAATCCAATCGTTGCTGTTGACGAAATCTTCTCCAGTATCTTAGTTCTTGGCATCCACACACAACTAGAGCGACCAAAGACAATCCCAGTCACATCAGCACTATCACAAGGATAACAAGCCTGGTCAACTCCTCTGTAGCTGTAAGCCATCTTAGAGTTCTGGGATAAATATTTCCTGCCACAACTTAACACTGAGGAAACTTTTTCTGTTGTATTGGGCAGACATCCAACCAAGTGTAGACCAGGCAATTCTTGTAACTTTGTGTTACATTGTGTTACAACTTTCGTGGGGTCGCATGGTTTAATGTTGACAACCCCGAATGATATTGCTATAACTGTAAGCAAATAAAACACTATCACTAGCATTGGTGCTGAGTTTATGGACATCTGTACATGAAGCTACCGAGTTCAACGAAGAAATGTACAAACTATAATTGACTGATCGATTTCTTTTTTTATCTGAAAGTAAAATTAATTTTGTTATAGTTTAATTGTGAGGTGTCGACTTAATAAAATCAATAAATTGCTCAGCTGTGTCAATCTCTTAGAATTGAAGGAAATACCCAAAAATCGATGAGCAATTTAATAATCCATTGTTTTTTCTTGCAGTATTTAAACGATACTTTTATTTCAAAACAAGATCAATACTAAAAGAGTTGTATTTCAAAAGTTAGTTGAACCTCTGGTATTAGCAAGTTTTACACTAGGACTCAATGGGTGCTCAGGACGTTTGAGTGGTCGAGTGTTAGGTTCATACCGAGGGTAGTGTTAGGGACATTAATCATGAGGAGTTAGGGACATTGAGAGGGTAGGGTTGAGATATTGGAAGTGTAAGGCTGGGATATTGAGATTGTAGGGTTGAGATATTGAGATAGTAGGGTTGAGATATTGGAAGTGTAGGGCTGGGGTATTGAGTGTCTATGGTTGAGATATTGGGAAGGTAGGGTTGGGATGTTCTTCCTTTTTGTTCTTTTTTAATTTGTTCGATGTGTTGTTTTGTTGTATTTGTTTTAGGGTGTTGCATGGATGGAGATGTGTTTGGCAAATTTAACTTATCAAACGAATTGTTTTTTAATAAAGTTTATTGATCTTTACACTGTTTTACAAGAGATCACAGATGTAGATAGTAGTGAACGCTAAAACGGAGTTATAAACAACACAGTTATTATGTTGAACGTATTAAATAAAGATAAAAACAATATTCACTAAAAAGAAAGTTTAGAATAATCGTAGATTCCAGAAATATTTTTAAAAAAAGAACATTGAAAGTAAACAATAGTAACAAAGAAAATAGTTATACCTGATAATACACATTTAAGGAACACAATGAAAATTATCAGAAAAAAATATTTAAGGCATAGAAAGCTAAGTCTTCTCTAAATTTGTTTGCTTTATTTAAAAGAGAATATTCTCTTCAGTTTATGTTGTTTGAAAATTAGCGGAAAGAAAAGAGTACGAAACAATGACATTTTTTTTTTACGATAATTTTTAAAATCTTAAGCCATCTAACTGTAAGAGTATTTTCATTTAAAGAACGTGTAGTTTAAATATTTTTTGTAGCAACGTTTTCCTGAAGTTGGTGTTGTACTTGTAGTAAATGAAGATGGTCAGGGAACCATTAGCTGTACAACAGAGTGTCATTAATCCAGAGCTTATGGTGTAAACATTGACCAGTGGACCAACCATCAGGTCAGGGTACAACAACAGGGCGAAGGCCAGGGCTATTTGTGGCAAGGACGTCGGCACGTACAGACAGGCTAAAATAATCACCATTTTGATTATACGCCTCTCCTTGCCTGACATCAAGCCTAGATTACCCGTTGTTGACTTTTCACTGTCCGTATTGTCCGGTCTGCTTGATTTCACGTGCCCTACAGACTTGCGTACCAGCGAGGATTTCTGGAGACCTCTATGCATTAACACTGCGCATACGAACACGGATACTTGACAGAAAACTGCCAGCAAAATCCCAAGCAAGTAGTTGTTTAAATTCGCCATGATTAAAAAAAATTCCGTTATTTCATATGTGAAGATCGTTTTGTTGGTCTTTAAATCAGTTACTTCCTTCATCTTAACACTAATTAGAAAAGGAAAATAATTCATCAATATAAATATTATAATTGTCGCTATAGTAGTTTTAGTTTTTCTGGCGTTAAAATGAATGCTAAAGGTGAACGGAAGAGTGACACAAAAGCATCGCTCAATGGAAATAAAAGCTACAAGTAAAGAGGAGCAGTCGATAAAACAAGCTCGAATAATGTACAAAACTTCTAGCACAGTGTGTTGAGTTACTGTCTCGTCTATGTTATAAAATATGAACGTAAAATCAACAGATGTAGCGAGGGTGAATAAACAATAGCCGAAGTCGATGGCAGACAGAATGAAGAGCGTGAAGTTGACCCGCTCCTTCATACCGAGCGTGTAAAATATTCTCAGGTTGACGACGTTGGAGATGACCCCGAAGAGGGAGAGAACTGACCGGACAATGATGACCAGCCACAGGTTGATGTGGTACTGGACTTCTTCAGGTATCCAGATGAAGTCCTGGCTAGTCTGGGGGCTGTTGGTCACTTCCTCAGGTATCCAGGTCAAGCCTTGCCTAGTTTGGAGGCTGTTGGTCACTTCCATGCTGCCAAAGACCCGATGCTCAAGAGAAGAAGTTCAAACCTAAGCAAAACACGGTTTAAATTACACATTTTTGCTAAAATAAATTATTTGCTTGGTCTAAATTATTCACTGCCACACTCAGAGTTTCTTCTAGGCATCTCGTCGGGGTGGGGGTGCGGGCTGGGACCTCTGCATTAATTTCATTTCAAATGTTTTGCATTTGAATTTAATTATTTAAAATGTATTTAAAATAATGTACATATTTAGTTACAACTTTCCTGAAAGGTGATTATGAGGAAGTATCAAACTTACTTTCAAAATTCTGCGAGTTCAAACAATTAAATATATTTATTTACTTCAAAGAATGGTTAAGTGAAAACACATATTGTTGGCTTATACTACAACTAGCTGCATACCCGTGCTCCGCAACGGTAAATCTTTTTTTAAATGTACCAACTTGGGAACAGAACAAAACAAAGAAAAACACAACCACAACACAACCACAACACAACCACAACACAACCACAACACAACCACAACACAACCATAACATTAGAATCACCACCGAACAACACGTTTTCCTAGGCGCCAGCGCCCAAAGAAAGCCTTTCCAGCATAAAAACAAACAAAAACACAACACAAACACAAACACAACCACAACACAACACAACCACAACACAACCACAACACAACCACACCACAACACAACCACAACACAACCACAACACATCCACAACACAACACAACCACAACAAAACCACAACACAACCACAACACAACCAAAACACAACTACAAGACAACCACAACATTAGAATCACCACCGAACAACACGCTTTCCTAGACGTCCGCGCCCAAAGAGAGCCTTTCTAGCATTAAAAATTTAAGTCACATAAATAGATCCTACTCCATAACTTACAATAAAACAATGCGATGCAAATAAATGTACGGCAAGTGGTGTTTACTTTTAAGGTTCTAAGAAAACACATTCGCAATGTAATTAGAATCACTACCGAAAAACACGCTTTCCCAGGCGTCCGCGCCCAGAGAGAGACTTTCCAGCATTCTCTATAAGTCTAATTTCACCTTCTGTTTTAATAACACCGAAAAACAAAAAACAAAAAATAGTGATTTTGAGAGATCATAGACTAAATAGAAAATAATATAAATAATCTTAACATTTTTCTATTTTAATTATGTACATTAACATATAATAATCAATGCGGTAGTAATTAAAAAACAAAACTTAAATTATTGAGAGTTGAATTTATTTATTTTCAATTACCTCCCTTGGCAAAAAAACATTATTTGAATTAATTAGTTTTTTCGACCCTCCTGTTATAAAAATGTATCCACTTTTCTGGGAATATAAAAGAAAATGATATTTGACATTGATCCTTTTAATATGTTTTAGCAATGTGCGTGTATTTAATATTTTCTTTACGTTATGCGAAAGAGTAAAAACAGTGGCAACTATAAAATACATTTAAGTCGTTATATAACCAACCCCTACTCTTTAACTTATAAGGTGCGATGTTTACTTTTATGGTTCCAAAATTCATAGCGATGACGGAAGGAAGGACTGACACACTACCACCAGCGTTAGATTATAGACTAGCCATCGGTACCCGTTTCACGTGAATTATAGGTCTATATATTTTAATTTTAAAATGTTGTACTTGTTTGAGATAAATATTTTTTGAAATAGTTATTGGTCAAAACGCAATGTGCTTTAAACTACACGCTGAACTATATTAGTGACAAAGCAAAGAAATACCTAATTAGCTAAAAATCCGACACATTTAACATAACACCCATTATCGGACACCGGTATCTATAATTATGCGAGTCTAAATCTAGATCTTGGCGACTTAGCTTCTACGTCTAGTTTTTGCGTAGATTTAGATCTAGTCTAGATCTAGAATCTCTAGATCTAGAATCCAAATAGATAAAATAAATTTTCTAAGTTTAGGCCGGTAAAATTGTATTGTATACATTTCATAGCGTATGTAGATCTAGATCTAGATCTAAATCAAATTTGAATGAAATAGTTCATTTCTTTTTATTCTAAACTCGGCAGATGACGTCATTAGTTAATGCATGAACATTAGTGACGTCATTGTTTCATGGGTTCTTTTTCACAACTATAAACGCTTTTCCTGTTGAATAATTAAAACGGTTTTTCTATATTCGAATATGTCTTTTTTTTCATCTTTAAATAAAATGTTGGTTATACATTTAAAACATCTACCATATTATTTTCAACAAAATTCCGTATCAAGTTCTCCAGATATCGCTAAGAATTCTGATGTGATATCCGGCGAAAATACTTTGCGGACAGAGAGAGAGAAGTGCGCACATGTTCTTTTATATATTAGGATGATAATGAATGATGACCCAAAAAAGTCTCAATAGAACCCAAAATTGTAATCTTTATTTAGAAAGTATTCTATGAAAAATTTGATAAATTATTTTAGGAAAAAAAATTAAATTTTATGGCTTAGACTAAACCTGATTCCTGGAGGTCTTTTCTTTTAAAAATATTTTCTTTAAAAAAATGTCATTTCATTTATATATTTTTTTTACAGTAGTTTTAAAAACAAAAGAAGATGTGAATTACGCAACGATTTTTCTAGCCACTCAAGACCAGACGATCCGAGCAGAAGTGTGTAGCTCACTTAAGGGCTTGGTTGCCACTCCAATCTCTACTTGTTGAGAAACTTCTTTGATTTCATCAGCACTCGATGTCAAGATAAACAAAACATATTCTGTAGACGAGAAAGTTGGGGGACGCTTCAAAACTTGATTGGATGACGCAAGTGGTTGTCCAAATTTTTTTTTTTTACAATTCTCAAGTCCATTTATCGAGATAAAATATCTCCCTTCCTTAAGCAAAATAATGAAACTTGACATTTATCCAGAAATGAATGATGTCCCTTTGATGTCCCTTGATCATGTGAACTTTTAGAGGCGACCTCCAGTGAACAATTTTGTCAGATGATGCAACCTGACCTCGTTTTGAGAGAGTTGTTTTCATATGTACCTCAACTACCCATTAAGTTCAATTATGTCCCTCTTCTGCTCTAAAACTCTTTGTGATAAATCTACAAAGTTTGAAGTTGTTGAGAACTGACAATGTATCAATTACAAAGGTATCAAAAAATAAGTCAAAGTCATAAAGACATCCGAACTGCAAGTTTTCAAAATTGGAAAATTAGCATTTCACAAAATATCGGTATCAGGAAGTCGGGTGTACAATGAAATAAAAAACACATTAAGTGGACAAGTCTCATTTTAAAACCACTGTGTCAGGAACTTATGTAAGTTTTGATCGTATCTCTAAATCTTGCAATGTCACTTACTAAAATTTATTCTTTAAGTCCATATTGTATACGTTTTTAAAAACAATCAGTATATTTTAAACTTTAAATTCCGTTCGTTCTTAATTAAATATCATCTCTTTGTTATTATTAAATGTAGGCATCTTTAAATAAGCGTTTGATGATTAATTTAGACTTAGTTGGATTGAAAAGTAGTTATTCTTGCGCTGTCGTAGAAAATGAACTTATCTGATGAATTTTAAATTTTAAATCGCTGCATCAGAAATGAGTCAACACCGATTTACAAGATATAACCACAGTCCCGACCCCCTCACCCACGGGCACAGAGAAGGCATACATTTGGACATGGTGACCTTAATACGCTTGTGCCAAAAAATCTATAAATAAAACAACTTTTTAAAAACTCTAACAAGGCGTACAAGCATTATTACGCCCCATTTTTCAGCTTCTATGTCCAATATTTTTAAACGACTCACTCTTTAAAAAAAAAAACAATAACAGCACAGGAAACAAGCTTTGAAAGCGGCTACATTTTTTTTTGTTATAAATAACTTTTAATTGGGTGACTTCAGCAACACTTAGCTGGGTAAAAACGGAAAACGTCAGACGGAAATGTAGGATTGATTTCTTCACGGCTGGCTGAGCTGAATGCATTCTTTGTTTTTGAGTCATTTGTTTTAATTCATGACGTCGATATTTCAATGCTGGTATGTTAGGCCGTGCGTTAACTACGAAACTATATATTACTAATTAATGCTTATAATCCTCTTTTGTAAATTTTTATATCAAATAAATAACTGTCAACGTTATATGTGCTCATTTGCGTCTCTTTTTTTGACCATGGTAAGTAAAGCCTACCTGATCTGTACTATACCTGTACTCACAAGTTAGCGACCATGGTAAGTAAAGTGTACCTGATCTGCATTATACCTGTACCTACAAGTCTGACACATCCTGGCTATATAATAATTTAGTTTAACAACACTTGAACGAGTGGAAGTCATATTTAACTCGGCAACTGTGTCTGTAGAATTAAACGATGAGCAGTAGAAATTAACACACTAGTGTTATCTAGTTTCATCTTCATACCCTCTGGTACTTTTTTGTTTCCTCAGTGCTACTATTTGGACCCCTTTGAAAGCAATTAGTATCGATGTGAACATTTCTAGTTTAAATTACTGTACTCTTGTTAAAAATTACAAATTAAAGCCATCATTTTTTTATCTATTTTATCTACGCTGCTTATGTTAAAGACTATCGGAGTTTTTTTAATAACAACGTTTAGAATGACACCATTATTTTAGTACTAGATGTATGAGTTTATGTGTTATTATGACACCATTGTTTTAGTACTAGATGTGTACTTTAGTACTAGATGTATATGTTAATATGACACTATTTGTTTAGTATCATATGTATATGTTAATATAACACCACTGGTTTAGTACTAGATGTATATATAAGTGAGACACCATTGTTTTAGTACTAGCTGTATGTTTTAATATGACACCATTGTTTTAGCACTAGATGAACGTGCTAGTATGCCACCAGTTCGATCTTTGTACAGCTACCAGTTTTAGCACTAGATGAACGTGCTAGTATGCCACCATTTCGATCTTTGTACAGCCACCAGTTTTAGCACTAGATGAACGTATTAGTATGCCACCATTTCGATCTTTGTACAGCCACCAGTTTTAGTACTAGTTGTATGGGCTAGTATGCCACCCTTTCGATCTTTGTACAGCCACCAGTTTTAGTACTAGTTGTATGTGCTAGTATGCCACCATTTCGATCTTTGTACAGCCACCAATCATAAAGACACTGATGCTCTCCGGGGCTATCCTATGAGCGTACGTGGTGAAGTAGTCTCTGTTGATGTAGATCTGGAAACCACTTGCCGTAACCAGGAAGTGGTACTCGTTCACCTGCCCTAGGTGGTACAGGAAGGGTGACGTCACGACTGTCTCCTGGTTCCAGCCGGTGCCGATTCGGGTGTTGAGCACGGTGATGGTGTAGTCTGACCTGGGGTTGAAGTGCAGGTGACAGTCCTGGTCGTTCAGGAAGTTCATCGACAGCTGTGGGGACGTGTCGGTAGAAACTAGGACTTGCACCTGCTCAAATCAAATGTAAAAAGAAACTCGTCAACACAGTTTTTTTTTAAGTGGTTAATAATAGTTTTGTTAAAAAACTTGGAATATCACGTACCTAACAACATGGAATATGTCGTGAGTTAGAATTGTTTTTAAATACTGGTAGTGTGCGATTATTTTATGTTGACCAACAAGCAGTATTCTGCGTAATCATTACATTTTTACCCAACTCACATTGTGCACTCCCGGTAGATTTGTATGAGGTGTTATGTTGCAGGCAGTCGACTATACGCTAGTGCTACTAACTATTAGCAACCAGTACTTTGAACCACAACTTTTTAAATCAAATAATTTCGGACCGCAAGATCTAACACCTTCTCTATACCGCAGGAGAATGAACAAATTAGAAATGAAAACTGCATTAGTAAAGCGATAGATTACAGGTGATTTATTACAGATATCTAGCAAGTATCGGTTATCGTTGTTCTAATTTGTCCCTAAATTGTAAAGAAAATATTAATCAGGCTACTTAAAGTATTTTACTCACCATGTAACCCTAACCAACCAGGTGAAAAAATATGTTGCAGTTCAAGTAAAGGAATAGCATGGGGGGAGGGGGGGTTTGATGATAAGCTATTTTCAAAGGTTGGAGAATTCATATTTACATTTCTTAAAAACTATGTAAAATAGTTTATTATATGATAGAATAGATTAATGCTGTTTGATATGTAATTTGACCCGCTAGGGCCCAAAAGGTAATTACGTGTATTATATGTAGTGGCTTATTGTGAAGGTGTGTGACATTTATTAATGGGCGCCTTAAGTATTCCCTGCCCCTCACCTAGGACGTCTTAAGCGTTCCCTGCCCTACACCTACAACAACTGTTTATGCCACCAGTGTTTCTTCCGTACTTTTTTCTCCGGGGGGGGGGGGGCACTTGAAATTTTCGGGGGGGGGCGGAATAAAATTTCTGGGGGGGGGGGGGGGGGCAGACACTGTTAAAAGTATATTTTTTCTATATGAATTCCATTTCGTTCGGGGGGTGGTAGAGCCCTCCCCCCCCCCTGGAAGAAACACGGTATGCCAAAGGGTGGATGCATTTCTATCTAAAGTATGTTCATCTTCTTACCACTGCCCCGGGAAGGAACTTCTCCGGTAAAGAAAAATATGTTTCGTTACAAGACAACGGGTCATCTGACACGTGCAGGGTGCGTGCAATCTTGATCTCTGATTGGTTGAAGTTGATGCCAGTTAGAGAACCTTTGAGAGAAATCCGACACAGGGCAGACGACTTTGTGTACAAGTACCCAAAACAATTGACATCGGTCGAGCAGTTGGCGGCACAGGACACATGACTTGGTGTCTGGAACGTTTTCGTCTGCGTGAAAATTGGGTTGAAATCTTGTTGTGTGAACGTCCGAGAGTTTAATTGGCTGGAGCTCAAGACAATCAACAGCGATATTATGAACAGTTTGTGTATGGTATCATACGTTTTGTGAGGAAACATTATGATGTGTTTGAAATTTGTAGCGTATGGCAACTTTTTATTTGCGGTTTAACAAAACGTCATAAAATTAAAATATCCCAGAAATTTAGAACACAGTCATAAGAAAACACAATTTTATGAGTTGGAATCAACATAGATGACATGCCGTCTAGAGGTTTTGTTTGACACCAAGTCTCTCTGACGTATTAGATAGGATTAGATTTAAACAGCGACATTAATTTTTTTCTCGACATTTTTCGAATCTCCTTCTCCGTCATTAAATCAAGTAGGCCGAGTAGAATCCGTTGCTTCCTACGCATGCGATTGTTTTCATTGCTTTAAAAAAAAAAGAAAGTGTTATTATTCTCCATTTCATCCAACAGGTCACTAATAATGGGTATCGATTTCAAGTTTTTTTGGACAACGGATCTTTATAGCGTTATGGCTATTTTGTTAACCTCTTTTTTTCAATTTAACAAGCCACTTAATTTATTACGTTCAATAACATTTTTTTAATGCGTTTCATCATAGCTATATGGGCTCGTTCATTAATGACGCCACAATCCTAGTGAGGGCGTAGAGGTTCGGACTAGACGGGGGTGTTAACAAAGTGTGACGTCACACTTTTTTTTAAAGTAAATTTTTTAAACTGAATTTTTATTTTAGTCGCCAAGTTCACATTTCATATGACCTCAGTATAAATGGTAATTAAAATAGATCAATAACCCGACAATATATCTAATACTGAACCATCTCAGTTTATATGTACGAAAATATTTTTCTTTAAAAAGTTTAAAAGGTCAGTAAATATTTAAAATAGAAATCGCACTTTTTTTCTAATTGCTGTTTGGAAATGGGGGGGGGGGGGGGGGGGTAAGTTGAACTATGACGTCATTTTGTAGTGGTGGAGGGTCTGGCTTTTAGTATATATGTGAGACAACATGGGGTTGTCCAAAAAAGCGTAACTTCAGTAAATGGCAACAACCGATTTATAATTCACAACAATAATTAGCCTAATATATATGCAGGGGTGGTATATCAAAGATGTATAACATTATAAGTAGGTGGGGTGAGTCAAATGAAGAGTTTAATGGGGACGGTCTCTATCATTGTTTCTGACAGACATTTTGCTCCGATGGTTGTGGGGGGGGGAGGGGGGGGCATATTTAAAGTTTTGGGGGAAACGCACCTCAAACCTCATGGGGGGGAAGGCTGATACTGGTTTATGTCTATATTTTCTATATACATTTTATGTTGTCTATTTCTTCCCGGGGGGGTGGATCTGTTCCGAGCTCAGGAAATTCCGGGCACCTTTGGATGAGTCCAGTGGCGTAGCTACCGTAAAGCTAGCGTAAGCAAGGCATAGGGGCCCAAGGCAAATAGGGGCCCGTTTTCGAAAGTTTGCGAAGGGGTGCAAATCGAAAGTCTGAGGGGGAGGGGGTGCAAATCGAAAGTTTGTCCCCGGTCGCCGGGAAGGGTCGCTACGCCTCTGAGGGGCCCACTAACACTTTTTGCATAGGGGCCCAAAAATCCTTGCTATGCCACTGGATGAGCCTGCATTCACTGTCGTACCAAAGCTTATCGTAAATTTACAATAAATATATTTAGATAATAATATATGTCAATATATGTGTAAATAATCGATACCATTGCGGAAAAGAAAGGATCGACGCTAAATCTTCGAAAACATAATAATCTTTAGCGAGAATTCAAATTATGAAAATGCCAATTAGATCTAGTCCTAGCAGTCAAAAATGTTTTGGTGATTGGCTAAACACAACATTGTTTTTCGAAATGGCTACCCAGGAGGGAAGTGTGAAAGAAGAGGATACACTGAAATTAAAACCTCCATTATGTTTAGCAAGTATGCGTAGTCGAGTAAAAAGCTACATTGATAAGGTACATTGAAATCGACGTCATATGAACAAAATAATTGACATAACACTTTACAGCTACTAGATCTAGATCTAGATTAATTTTTTTAGAGATACTCACTAATTTTAAATTTCGTTATTTTTCGATTTAAACATTACCAATGGAAACTAGAGATCAATCTCTAATCAATCAAATACTTAATTTGTTGAAAATAAACTCATTTGGAGCTTAATTACTGATTTTTATTAATTGGCCACTCCAAGCATTGCAAGCCAAATAATCCGTGACAACCAGATCGCCATTACTTTTCTGAAGAGACGAACTCTGCAGGGTTGACCTTGCAGCTGATTTGATTTTAGCAGAATATGCACAGTACATTTGATTTTATTACCACATTTCTATTCGTATGGACACTGTCTTCGTCAGAATAAAAAATCACATAATGGAATTAGATCTAGATCTAGAATTTTTAAATATTTTTATTTAATTTTTTTTTAAATGGAAGGGTGTTTAAAAAGGAAAACTAAATTCAAATTAATGAACAACATGTTCAAGAATATATAGTATAGATCTAATCTTTTTAAAGATATTCAATCCCATGCATGTTTTATTAACTAGTGTAAGTGTTTTAGCAATGCTTAATTAGGGCAATTCATAAAATATAGCGATGTCATTGTAAAATTAATCTAACCCTCTTCTCTCACTTCACTTGGGACAGGTGTGTTATTTACAAAGTTTTGTCTATGCTCAGTTTAAAATGTAAAGATTTGTAAGTATTTGATTTATTTTAAAAAACACTGCAATAGCATTCAAATTCATCAAGTTAGCGAGAAATACATTCTAAACAGCGTCACGGGCAGTGCGCGTGACAGACATCTCGCTCGCTTAGTTTTGTCAACCAGAAAAGTTAGCCTATCAAATACAATTAATTAGGCCTATAAAATAAAAATAGGCCAATCGCATTAAAATGATCGCCTGTGAGCGAAGATATATGCAAATTACAAACATCGCTAGCCCGCCTGCGTTCTTTTGTCAACCAGCGAGAGAAAACTCACAGCACAGTGTGCGCATGCGCTAAATCTATTCCAAGTACTTTGTTATCCCAAGTTATAGGCCCTAATTAGTATTATAGGTCTAGATTAATATAAAGTTCAAATTAAATGTATTTAATTAAGATGTGTGTCTATTTGATTTTTCAAATGTCAGCGCATAAAAATTAATCACCCGAGAGCGAGAATTAGGCCTATGCCTATGCATTCCAAACATCGACACAGGCCAAGTGTGACACACGACTCGCTCGCTCGCGCTGGTTTGTCAGCGCGAGAGGCATCGCCCGCCACAACGCCGGCACAGCACACACATGTCCTAGTCCATGCGTACTTGGTTTACTAAGTACTAATTAGTAATGTAAACCTAGACTCAACGCTAAAATCATTTAATTTATCAGGCCTCTAAAATCTTAATAATATATAATAAAATATATAAATATCAGTGGCGTAGCGAGGTCGGGTGTCACCCGGTGCGGCACTTAATGGTGTCACCCCCCCCCCAGAGGCGTAGCGACCCTTCCCGGGGACAAATTTTCGATTAGCACCCCCCCCCCCTCAAACTTTCGATTTGCATCCCCCCTCAAGTTTTTCCCTATATATTTTGCTATTTTTTGCCTTGGTGTCACCCCCCCCCCCCCCCCCCCCCCTAAATGGTGTCACCCGGTGCGGTCCGCACCCCCGCCCCCTCGCTACGCCCCTGATAAATATATTTATATAATATAAACATTACTAAGCCTAATAAATGTATCAACGAAGACCAGTGAAAATAATATTATAATTAACCTAATTAAAATTTATGAAATCAATAAGAATTAAGACAAATTAATTAAGCTATAACAAATTTGAAAACAAATAATTAGGCCTAAATAAGCACACAAAGACCAACGCTCACTACAAATTCCAGGGATCAACACAAAATTTAAAAAAAAAAAAAACAGATCGTTGTGGTTTAAGGCTAAGGGCTTTTAGAGTCTTAGTATAATCCAAAAGCCAGGTGAAATATCCATAATTAGGCTTAATTAGTCTAATTACGCTAGCAAAATAAGCTGAAAAAGAGTGTCAAGTGAAAAGAATACAATTATATAATATATAAGCAGCGAGAGGATACTACTGTACAGCTTCCGTAACAATAGCGATGACGTCACAATAAAAAATTACGTGCTTTCAGTGACCTTTTTTGGCTGCCGATTTCTTAAAATGGATTCAAAATAATTACAATATTTTTTCACTAAACGATCAATCTAATAATACTCTACCTTACAGTGCCATTTAGACACGTAACAGTCCTTTATTTAAAGTTTTTAAACAACTCAAACTATACCCATGTTTCCGCTTGACCTCCATGGTCGGAAGCAAATTTAAAAAAAAAAAATCTGCCAAAAATAGCTTTGTCATCTTCAGATAGCTTAAAATACGCGAAAAAAACGCCATTTTTCGCGTGATAATTATTTTTAAACTTAATGTTAAGGTGGTCTCTCGAACAAAGCAGAAAAAATTGCCCAATCGTATGCCCAGGTGAGGTAGCCATGTTCTGGTTAGCAACCAAGGACGCTTTAAAGTTAGTGAGCCTCGCTAATTTTTTAGTTTTTAGTAAAATTTTAATTTTAGGCTGGTTTTTTTTTCAATGTTCAAACAAGTTCAAGATCGACTAGTGTTTCGTTGTGTCTTGGCAAAATCTGAGAAGCGAAATGGCGATGCGGTAAAACGCAAGTAGGATGCAAAAACTGCTTGTCAAGTGACATTTTAAAACGATTTTTGTCTCGAATTTTACCACTAGATCTAGTTGTTGGTGTGAGTAAATTAAATTGCGCTGGCTGGTGTCTGGGAAATTTTTACCGCATCCGAATTCCAATGAATGAGCTGGTGATTTTGGCCTAAATAAACTTTTATGCAGACTTTGATTTTTAAACATTTTATTTTACTTTATTAAAGTTGTTATTGTTATAATGATATAATGATGTAGCCGCTTTCTGCAAATGTATTTCAAGTCTAATAAATCTGATGTTCCAATTTTTACTGCAACCAAAATTTGTCAATGATTGAATAGGCCTAATAACTTTCCATTGTGTATACTTAAATTACTTAGAATACCACATGGTTCAAAAAAGCCTACCCTTTTTTTTAATTTAATGTTACTTTTGGTCTACTTTATACTGCCTTGTAGTTTGTTCTTGGTTGTATTAAAGCTATGGAAGCAAATCCAAAAAGAAAAGCAGACTGTAATCGGAGTCAACTGCCTTTGTATATGGCGCATAACAAGTTGACATGTAATACTTAATTGTGTTGGATTGGAGGAAATCCCTACCTTCTACTGTTTGTAATATATTAAATTTTATATCAGTCCAAAATTTTCCGATGATATTTTTCAGCTAGGCCTACATGTTAAATCAAATACTCACAAACAGTAGGCCTATTGTTAAGTTACCATTCTATAAAAGAAATGTAGGCTACATCTCTCAAACCAGTTTCTTAACGCTAAGTCGTATGCGTGGTTGTAAGCCTTGGCATGTTGCTTCATCCTCTTTATGAACTCATAGTGACCCGAAGTACGTTTTTCATATTCCTTGCTTTATGGAAAAATTAAAATTAAAGTAACATCATTGACAATTCAGCTTGCAATGTTTATGCTTTAGCGTATACTACTACGTCCACTGATATCTAAACTAATCTGAACTTACAGTGACCCCTTGACCCAGGTGGGATTTTTCTCCCACTGACAAGAAAATATGAGTGGGTGATGATAGGGGCAACAGTGTTTAGAATTAGCAAAAAAAAATTATATTTAAAAAAATTCAAGACCAAGATTCTAGATCAAGAAAATTATTTTAGAAAACATCAAGTGCTTGTGATAGATCTACTTGTTTAGTTTATAACTTTTCTTCTCGCACATCCTGAAAGAAAAACAATCTAAAGCATAAAACAAAAAAATGTCTAGTAAAGTGTGTCTTGCTATTTACCCATAATTCAGCAGGCATAATTTGCATTTTACCACCTCACCATTTCACATTTTACCAAGGCCTAAGTGTTTCAACAGCATAGTTGAACAGTTTGTATTTCTATTCATCTTTCATTAGCTCAGTCATTGAATTTTCATTGTTTTAATCAAATATCTTGCACTAGCATCAGGTAGTGATTTACTTTTGTCACACAACAGTCCAGCTGCATTTTCACTTTAAAATGTTGTTAAAGCACAACTAATTATACTCTGGGCTGAACTTTTGATTATTCTAAAATTTCCACGAAATAGCTTTTTTTTTTTAAATCTTAAATTATTTGAGAAAATTTGTCGGGACAATAAAACCATGTACGTAACCTTTTATTAATGGTAATTGATAATTAAAATTCACTTTAAGGCCTTTTTTTTCACAGCATCAGTATGATTCTGCTATCTTTTGGGCTGACAAAGTTGCTACTCTTTCTGATGGTAATAAATGTTAATATGAGCTCAAATTAAACTACAAAAACATTACTAATTTGATCGAAACATTTTTAGTCGTTGCCACCCTGTTCACTTAAATTTTAGCAACTGATAGCCTATCTAAATTGCATGTAATTTCCTCTTTTGTTTCAGCTGTTGAAGATTTGTTCTGGTATGCTCAAACTATGTACTACACCGGCCAGTATCACAGAGCCATTCACTTACTGACAAGCCGAAAACTAGACAAGGTATACTAATTGATTCTGGGTTTTGGTCAGACCACCCATTTTTATCCAATTTAAACTTTTTCTATTACATTCCTTGCATACTTTTTTTTATTGTGAACATTTACCAATATTTTTTCTTCTTTTGGTACCACCAGACATACACTGCGTGTCGTTATTTGGCAGCCAAATGCCACGTAAGTGTAAAACAAATATAAGCTTCCGTGGTTATAATAGTTATATATTATTATCCCCGTTTTTGGAAACAACTTTTTCTTTATATGTGATCTTCCTGCTACTTCCTCCTTTCCTTGCCATCTCTCCACATAGTTTTCATTCAGTTTATTTATTAATGCAGAAGTTATTTCTTAATGCAGAAGTTTTGTGTTACAGTATGAATGCAAAGAATGGCAAGAAGCCCTGAATATTCTTGACCTGTTAGACATGTCTTTCAGTCGCAGCTCATCTGCTGCAAACATCAGCGACTCATTGCCAGGGACAGAAACAACCTTACTTCCAAACGTGTGTAGCTTTACGAAATAAATGTTACAGATTGTTAACCAATTGCTCATACAATTTTAAACAATTTATTTCATCTGAAAATAAGTTACAGCATGGTTAAAATATATTATCCATGTAAATCTTATATTAATTTTATCATTAAATACATTGAAAATTGTATCTGTATGTTTCAGTGTGAAAACTCGATCTGTTTACTACGAGGGAAGATCTATGAAGCCATGGATAACCGTAGCCTAGCTGCTGATTGTTACAGGGAAGCCTTGAAACTGGATGTTTATTGTTTCGAAGCTTTTGAACTGCTAGTTAATCATCACATGCTTACAGCTAAAGAAGGTTTGTTAAATTATGATGTTTTACCTTATTTGTTTTACTATCTTTATTTTTAATTATAGCAGTATATAAAATGTATTTGTATTAAATTATTATTATGTATGATGACATATCACTTGTTATCTTTATTCTGAATTTTACTTTAATGTACTTTAAAGTCTTTGTTCAGGATTCTTTTTCTCTAATTTTGGTTAAAAGGTAATTGCAGCGGAAGAGTTGTTTGTAGATTTTTTTTTTTATTACTGAAATGTTTTGATGGGGCAAGAATAATTTTTTGTACTAACGACATGTTGTCTTGATAGAGCAAGAACTGGTTTCTTCGCTACCTTTTGCCAGCCAGTGTCACCCCAGTGAAGCTGATATTGTCAGGGATCTTTACCAGAGCAGACTTAAAAAGGTGAAAAATAAAAATATCTTTTATTTAGGAAATTAACCACTTTTAGATGTATTTGAACCCACATAATTTAAATTTAATTTGATAATTACCATTTGCTTTAAGCTACAAAGAGTGATTCACATATTTAAAAGATATTAGTTTGCTTAAAATACTTGATTTTATAACAAAATAATTAATACTTGTAAAATCTATTGTTTGTAGTATGACTGCCCTGGAAGAGTAGAGTTGTCTCCATCATTACTTCCCCTTGCTAACAACTTGGATGTGATAGTTAGCTCAGCCGAACAACATTTATACAATTGTGACTTTAGGGCTGCTTATAAAATAACCTCCAAGTAAGTTAACTTTGGTATTAGCATGATATTTTTTTTGCAAAAATACATTTATAAATAGTCCACTCTGGGTGCAATTTGAGTACTAAAGTGCAACTGGTAATGATAAGTTTTATTTAACACTTCAAAAGTTATTAATTAATTTAAACCTTTTGGTTAGTTTTAACAATTTGCAATAGTTTTTTGTAATGAATTACAAATTGCTAATGATAATACTGCATAACTCTTGCTGTTGTATTATACCAGATACTTTGTTTTGTTTCTTTTTAGAGTGTTAAGTAAAGATCCATATAATAGCCAGTGCTTACCTATACATATAGCAGTTCTTGTGGAACTTAGGAATTCTAATGGTGAGAGTTAATGCCCATATCTACATTAGAAACATATGAATCCATGTTGATTTATAAGAAAATAGTATTATATTGGAATATATTTTGCTAATTTGTTATAAGATATGTAACTTTCTGTTTTCAGCTCTGTTTTATTTAGCTCACAAGTTAGTTGATTACTACCCAGATAAGTCTGTAAGTTTACATTTTATAACCCATCTATTGGTGTTATTTATTTGCCATTTCTCAATGTTAACTGAATTAAAAACGGATACAGTTGTTACAGAGTGTGACTTATGGAAATACCAAATGACCTGAATTTCTTGCATTAAATAAGCTTTTTAAAATTTTTCCTAAATCAGAGTCGTTCTTACTATTTGTTTAATCATAAAGCTTTTACAAAAATGTAGATCAGTCTTATCAATAATAACCAAATATTTGTGATTGTTTCACTCATTGTTTTTTGTATAAGTGAGTTACCCTTTTTTGGGAAATTGTGGTCGAATGGTATAGGGTTCGACTGTTAACTTGAAAGTCTTGGGTTCGGATCCCATACAACAACCCTGGGTTAACCCAGCTCGGCTTAGTGCTAACCACACTATACCTCCATATGCTAAGGTCACTGAAACAGTGGAATTTCCACCTGCCCCATGGACCATAAGGTTCAAAAGGGTACTTTACCTTAACCCTTTTAGACCTAAAGTCAGGTACCCTTAAGTGTTGGGTGGACACAGTTGTCCTACAAACTCCTGCCTAGGATCCAAACTGAAGTCTTTTGGCCTTGCAGTCGTGCCTTCAACCTACCAACCACGTCATCCCATATTTTATTTTGTATACATTGTTCTATTTCTATGTTCTAGATATCCTGGTTTGCTGTAGGCTGCTACTATATGTTAACAGAGAACTTTCTACCTGCTAGGTGGTTTCTAAGGTAATTTTTCTGTTTCACCTGCCTCTGTAACCAGTAAATCAAATATGGCCATTTTTATGGGAAATTAACTTAATTTTTAAGCATTTGTTAAACAATTATGGACGCAGACAAAATATTTATAAGGTTTTTTATTATCTCAGTAAATCAACATTAGAAAGAGCTCTTGTCTCATCTATTGATAAGGTTTTGATTATCATGTCCCATCTATTGGTAAGGTTTTGATTATCATGTCTCATCTATTGATAAGGTTTTGATTATCATGTCCCATCTATTGATAATATTTTTTATCGTCTCAGTAAAGCAACGACATTAGAAAGGGCTCATGGCCCATCTTGGCTGGCTTTTGGCCACACTTTTGGCGTGAACAAGGACCACGACCAGGCCATGGCAGCCTACTTTACAGCCTCACAAATCATGAAGGGGTGAGAGAAACAAAAACTTCTTTTTGAATACTTTTTATACACAATTAACATTGATAGTTAACTGAATTCTGTGTACAATTGAAATGTGTTGTATTGCCAATGAAAGAAAAAATTTCTAGTTACCATATAATTGTTGAATTGTCAGTGAATAAAGTATTCCACATACCATTCAACTATTGTATTGTCAGTAACAAAAAATCTCATGACTTTTTCCAGGTGTCACTTGCCGGTGTTGTATATTGGGCTGGAATATGGTCTAACTAACAACCCCAAACTTGCCGAGCGGTTCTTTAGTCAAGCACTGAGCATAGCGCCACAAGATCCCTTTGTTTTACATGAGATGGGTGTGATAGCCTTTGGAAACATGGAGTAGGTTTTACGTAGAGTGCTGTGTTCTCAGTAGTCATGTGTGTATGGTCATCCTTTTTCTTTATGTACTACATGATATGTTATTGTAACCCTGGCATTTGTAGCGATAGTGTGGTCAACACTGTGTCCGGCTTTCTTTACTCTCCCCAACATGAGTCAGGTACCTATTAGACCAAGCTGGTTAAGCAGTGGTGTGCTCTCTACCTCATGACCACGGCATCCAAAAAAACATTAAATAAACCTGTCCTAAGAAACATTGTATTTCAAAAAAAAATGTGAATATGGTAATTTAGTTGCGGCTAGGTTTAAATTTTAATATACAAAGGATACATTTTTTAAAATGGTAATGTCTATTTTGTTTTAGAAAAGTTATCTAAATATTAAATAGAAATTTTAATTTTAATATAAAAAAAGATTTTAAAAATTTTAATTGTAATGTCTATTGTGTTTTACAAAGTTATCTAAATATTATCTAGGAATTTACATTTAAATTACTAGGAAAAAATATATGTTTCTTGTGATGAATACACCATATCAAAATGGAAAAAATTTATTTGTTAAAGTTTTGAAGAAGCTGAGAGCCACTTCCTGAAAGCTCTAGAACGAGTGCGGGACGTGTGTGATGAGATGCTGCCAGAAAGATGGGAGCCACTGCTGAACAACCTCGGCCACGTGAGCAGGAAGCTGAAGAAGTACGAGGAGGCGCTGGAGTACCACAAGCAGGCTGAAATACTGTGTCCGCAGACAGCCTCCACGTACTCAGCTATTGGTGGGTTTGTTTTAGTGGCCTTGTTTGTGTTAGGGATTTAAACTTGGTATAATTTGTGATTGGTTTCTCTGATAATCACACAGATAAATAAACATGGTAACTGCAGTGAGATGTATGTAAAAAGTAATAAAACAGATAGTGTTAGTAACATGACTAATTAAACACAGTTAGAGGTACAATGAACTTTTGATCCAAGGTCCTCCTCAGTATAGTGTGGTTAAAGACTAGACACTCTTGTGTGCTAACAAAGATCTTGTGTTGGAACGTCCATTGCACCTGTAACTGTCTAAATTGTAAAGATACTAACACATAACACCACCCGGGTTTATTGCTTCTAATAATCACACACCTTTAGTGAATTTGTTTTCCAAATATTTTTTTTTGCATTAGTGTTTATGTAAATGCCTGTATGAAAATATTTTATATGCATTATATTTGCTTATTTTTAAAAGAGTCTAAATAAAATATTAACTTCCTTGTTCAGGCTATGTACATGCGTTAATGGGGAATCATTCTGAGGCTGTAAACTATTTCCATAAGGTAAGTCATCATCTGTTTGTTTACCTAGATGTGCTGCATGACTCAGCTGTGCATTGGGAATTTGTTTTGAATAATCCTAAAATTATGAAAGATGGTATTGATCATTTTCATTTGCATAGTTGCATAATTAGAATGTTAACACGAAATTAATATAATATGTAGTATACATGGTGAATTATGGGATGGGGTGGTTGTGTTGAAGAGCATTTGGCTGCTAGTCAGAAGGTCGCGAGTTTGAATCTCGGTTCAGACTCGCGACTTAGAACATCCCTGAGTCGACTTCGCTCTGATGGGTACCTTACTTACGTTGGGGAAAGTAAAGACTACTGGACATAGTGCTGACCACATCATCAACGGGCAAGAAACTTATTAACTCTACTTCATCTGCCCAATGGATTGCTAGGTCTAATAAGGAACTTTACTTTTTAGTACTTAAAATAATTATATGTATTGAATAGTTTAAAAATAAATTGAAAGGTCATTTTCTCAGCTATATTGTAATGTAATTTTTATTGAGTAGGTAGTTAATAAATGGCAACAGTTTGCTCACTAAGTTTTCATTTTTTTCATTAAAATGTTATCATTCTTTAAAATATTTCAACATTTTGTATTTCTAATTTAGGCATTGGGCCTGAGAAAAGATGATACATTTTCTACCACTATGTTAACAAATTCAATGGATGCTTTGATGTCAGAGATCTCAGCTTGTGATGGTATGCTCATCAAAAATAAGTTCATTAATTTAAATCAATTTTATTGAAACCAGCATATACATAAAACTGGTATTACAAAAAAATCCACCTTAATGGCAGATAAAGGGATCTGAAATATTGAAACGATATGTGGAATATTATTTTTCAACTATTTTTTAAATATTAACTGCATATGGAGGGGCTGAATGTATTCTTCCTAGGCCTTACCCAGGTTGCTTGCATTGCTGATAAACTAAGATTTAGATTTATACCAGCAATCTTTTTACCTATTTTTATCCTTCATTGTAACAATTCTCACTTTATTATAACGACTTTAGCAATAAACCTGTTTTTATTTCTTTCCCCACTGTAGGGGCTGATGACGATCCACACTTCCCCACCCCAACCAAAGACTCAGCTAGAAAAGTTAAACTCACAGAGCTCTTTGGGAGTTCACAGAAAGATAAAAGTATGGTGGACAGCAAGGATGAGAGCTTAGACGACAGTAAACCAGGCTTCGATCCAGTGGACAGCGACCCATTTGCAGAGAGTAGCTTGTCTATTGAGGAGGTTGAGATGGAGGAGTACTCAACTTCTTAAGTCTGAGCATGGAGGGCAGACACATTCTTTGTCTTTTGGGCAGGCTCAGTCAGTCTAGTCTTACTTTAGGCCAGACTATCATTGTCGCTAGGGCAGACACATTCTTTGTCTTTTGGGCAGGCTCAGTCAGTCTAGTCTTACTTTAGGCCAGACTATCATTGTCTCTAGGGCAGACACATTCTTTGTCTTTTGGGCAGGCTCAGTCAGTCTAGTCTTACTTTAGGCCAGACTATCATTGTCGCAGACACATTCTTTGTCTTTGGGGCAGACACTTTTGTTGTCTTACTTTAGGGCAGACTGTTATTGTCTTACTTTAGGGCAGACCCAGTCAATGTCCTTGAAGCAGACCCAGACTCATCAGTCTACAAAGCATCCACAGATGTCCCAAGTCAAAAACATTCTTACTTCTTAGCTAGTTCAAAATAATACACAATTTAGTATAGTATTTTCATGGTCATTATACACAGTTCAAAAAAAGATACTCCTTGTCTCAAGACAACTTGAAGAAAGACTATGCAGTGATTTTGGTTTACATGTCAGCGTGTTGATTTACATTGTAATTTAGTAGAAACTCATTTATCTTTTGTAAATTGCTCACTCAGACTCATGATAAATAGTTTCTTGTGTATTATTGTTACACCCAAGGCAGAATTTCTACTCACACTGAATAGACAGCTTACTATATGACTTTTGTAGCAGTTAATATTCTAATTACTAAGTTAGAATGTTTAGTAAAATCTCCCTCAAAATAGATTGCTATAATCACATGTAAATCCTGTTTTATATTTGACTATTTTTTTAATAAATGTGACAATGTGTTTTATTATTTAATGGGTGAATGTTCATGATTTCTAATTGTAAATAGAAAACATTTCAGTGTAAAAAATAATTGTTTTAACTAAACATTAAGAACATGGTTTATTTGTTATTATGTAACATTTTTCAAGAAATACCAATGACTTAAAATTGAAAGTGTTGGACTTTTTTCTAATGTCTGTCACCATATGTTATGGAGCTTAAGATATATATTTACAAAACAGAGACCATGACTTGGAAAATTTCAACAGTAATTTTTTATTTTAATGGCACACATTGAATTAACAAGTTTTTATTTACATTATTACAAAGTATATAAAAGATATTTTATAATAGCTATCATGGAATCATTTGGCACAACAGTTTTGTTGCTATCACTAACCAATGGTTATAATACAGCAGAATATTGTGTGTACATTACTTTGTCAACATTTTCCTCCAAGCAGATGGGAGTGACACTACAAAGTTGTCCACTTAGCAAATTATTTTTGTAAATAAAACCTGAAGAATACCATACACCATTTCAAACTGTAGATCACAAATCAAATCTTTCTGATTTAAGGATAGCTTACTTTGTTAACAGGGGTACATATTTTTAACAAACGATTATTTGCTTGAATAATTATTCTGTTTTCTTGAAGGTAATCCTTAGGTGTTCAGTCATCTCTGTCTTAGTGGTTTGCATGTCAATCACTTGTTCCAACTGGTCCCCTATTCTTTTAAGTTTTCTTTTTAACTGAAACATTCAAACAATTTCCAATTCTAAGAGTATAGAAATAACTTTTAAATGGCACTCAGTGTATTTGTTAGTCTTCAGGTAAGTCCCTATAGCTCACAGACTTACTAGATTTGACAACACCAGACATGCAGTACCTTATTCTATTGATACTAAGGTAGGGTTGTTTACCATAAACTTTGGTTGGTTTGAAAATAGTTATACTGTCTGTAAAAGCACTTACTGTTTTCACTTCTGGGGGTTTATTAAATGAAGTCCTGCCTAAATTGGTGGTTTCTACAGTTAACTCTTGTCCAGTTACTTCCCCTTCTTGTATCTCTACAACACCTGTAGAAAAAAAAAGCAACATTCAAAGATGGTGGAAAATTCGTCTGACATCAAAGTTCAAGGGACATCCACAACTGGCATCACGCCATTTTTAGTCATTTTCTCTTCCTCCACCATCTCCACAATCACATTCCGAAACGCTAGACCACTCACCCTAAAAATACTAGAAACTAAAACAATTTAAGTTCTAGCTTTTTAAAAAGTATTTTTTCTAGATTCTTACTAAATGTGGTATGATGGCCTTACCTAAGTTATGAGCTGACACAAAAGCTATGTGATTGGTTTCTGGTTTGATCCTGATAAATCCAGTTTCTCTGTGGAGCGGCAGACCGTTCTCGGGCTTCCAAGAATAGAATCTTAAAGTTCAAATTTAAAAACAGTTCTTAAATATTTGAAAAGTTTATAAAATCTGTCAATAAATTTGCTCATGTTAGTTTTTATTTATAGTAATACACAAGTTAAACAATTTTAAAAAAAAAGAGACCAGCTAACTTGTATTCCACAATTGGTTTCATCCCAATGGGGAAAAACTCCACCTCCTCTGCATAAGTGAAATCAGACACAGTTGGGTATTGTCCTTTCCCATCCTCAGACCTCCACTTGCCAAAAAGCCATGCTAAGGGCTTCAGCAGATCATGACATTTGTTTTCTGGTCAATGGTAAACAATACAGTTACAAGCAACAGTAAGTATTCAGTTCCAAAATGCAACTATAATAACTCTCATCAATATAATGAAAGAAATTCTAACCTGATATTTTCTCTGACATTTTTGAGATTCCTTGTACAGCTGGTAAATTCTTTAGCAGCTTATTGCCTAAAAATATAAAAATGAGATGAAAAATAAAATGTGATAAAAAATATGGTTGATATATTATATACACAATTTTTTCAAAGCTTAGATAAGAACAAAATAAATGACAGTATTGAAAACATAAGTACAACACAACACCAATCTAGTCATGCAGGAAAATGTTTTTAATGAAGTTTTACATAGTACCCATGATACAGCAGTCCTACATTAGTTAAAACATTACAACAATGCAAACAATCAATTTAAAAGTCATCAAGTCTTTTAGCAGTTTGATTTTAATCACTACAAAATCTCATTAAAACAACTATATACTTCTTAAGTTTTTCAAATAAATAGAGTAAAAAATAAAAGATTCTTGTGCAAGTGATTTAAAAAGATGCAAGTTAAAATAAAATTATGTTTATCAAGCAGTTAGTAACACACTCACCAGCAGAATTTAAACGCTCATTAAAAAATAGGTTGACAGCTGCCTTTTGGAAATACTTTTTTATCAAATGGTCCTTATCTGTTTGGATGGGGCATTTTCGCTTTTTCTTCACATAAGTCATCACTGCGGCTCTCCCTTTTAATCGTTGCTTTTTTACTTTTGTTGTAACTCTGGGATTCCGTTTGGACTTGCGTTTGTTAGAGATGTCTTGAGGACTGGCTAGAGTTGTATAGATGGGTGAGGGGGGAGAAATCAGAACTGTTTGTTGCTGGTTTAACAGTGGCACACAGTGTAACTCTTCATTGTGCTGAGTTTGAGATAAAGCAACAGCAGTTAACGGCTGGTAGTTTTTCTCTTGCAGGCTGTGTTTGCCTTCAATGCCACTCCAATGCTGGAAATGATCAGCACTGCAAGTAGGTTCGACACTATGTACATTCTGGAGGATGTTGCTCACTGGCATGATACTAGGGACTGATGTCTGAAAAGGCTGAGAGGCAACACTGTACAACTGGGGAGGCTGGAAAGACTGGATATTGATGGTGAACATATTAGCAGGCTGCTGGTAAGCCTGCGCTTCCATGTAACAGCTCTGGTCAACATCTTGGTTTAGAGTCTGTTGCGCAGAGTGAATCATTACAGTTGACTGGTTATTTATTACCTGAGATGATGGAATATGCGAAAGAGGAATCTGGATTTCATCCGAGACTTTGTCTTGTGGATTATCCACTACATGGACGCCATCACCAATATCGCTAAGGTGAATCACGTCTTTGGGGTCATAACTTTCTGAAAGTGTAGACTTAGATTGAAGTTTTGTATTGACCAGCCTGGTCTTGATGTTGTGTATGTCCTTCATGAGGATGACTTTGCCAGTGATCTGCATCAGCTTGTCCCTGAGAAGTTTTTTGTCTGGACCCATACACAGGAGGTTGGCTATCTCCTCCTGCGATCCTAGGTCAAGTTTTCTTTGCTTTGGGTGAAGCCTAAACTCTGCCTGTGGGGGGTGGCAAGAATATTTCATTAGACACTCACTGAGACCAGATTAAATCTCAACAAACAAACTGTTGTTAGTGTAGGCTAAATTCTGGTGGCGTCAAGATTATTAAACTAGATATTAAAACTTTCTTATAGCAAGCATGTTCCTCAGCAGATGGTGGAGTAAAAAAAAACGTTACCCATTTTTCACCTAACAGCAGATGGAATGGACATGTCTGTTTTGTTACCTTACCAAGGAATATGAAAGGAAAGCTTGGTGAGTTCATTGCCCCACTGCCTTTACCTAGTTTGAGTCCGGTACCCATTTAAGCTGGATGGACTCAATTGACATCCTTCACACTTGAGTCCAAAAATTGATCTCAAAACTTTCAGGTTAAAAACACCATCCTCCTTGGTAGGTACAGTGTTAAAAATAATAATAGTGGACTTTTTTATTGAAAAGTAAATTAACTGCAAGTCTTTTAGTTTTTCTTTAACTTTCATAACTTTTGACTGAACTAAGCCCTGAGACAGTGACTGAAACCAAGTTTGTAAAAAATATGCAGCCTTTAAAGTGAGCAATCAATAATTGTAATACCTCTGAAATTTCATGGTTATGGTCACCACACATTTCCCTGATAAATAACTTTTGTCCATCCACAGTAGCACGCACTTTAAGGGAGAATGGACAAGCTTGCTTTATGGTTCTTAGAAAAGAGAACAGAATTTTCTAAAATAAATAAAGGTCATCCAATAATTACAGTATATTTTATTTGAATATTTTTACACCCCCCCCCCCCCCATCTACCAATGTGGACATGTTACCAGTTCCCCCACCTTCCCACATAAAAATTACATTGGGATCTACCCGCACCCTTCCCCTACAAACTCTATCATTCTGAAGAAGCAAAATTACTATATATATATATCTTGTTAATCATTCTCCCCCATGTAGAGCATTGTGAGAACATCTAAACACCTTGCATTAAAAATATGTATCATTATTTATACATATGATTTCTATACTTACTTATAATTTCTTTTCCCAGTTGAGTGAGAAACATACTTCTTACCACCATAAGTGCAGCAGAATGAAATATCACTGTACTTTATGGCAGCATTGTAAGTTTTCCGCTGATTGCGCTTGGCAGCTGCCTCTACTCTTCTTGTGTCTCGTATAATCAAATTAACGAAATTCTCTGCTTCGTATGCTTTTATAGCATTGGTTAACTCATCATAGTTATTAAACTCTGCACCAACTTCAACAGCCATAGCCGATAGACTCACTTATTATATAGCAAGATTTAGTGATACCGTCACTTATATATTTTCATTCTGATTCTTACATCTGGTTCAGTTCTAAATAAATATATATTATATTGTTGTAGCTTGTTAACAACATAGCTAACATTTAGTGGTAAATACAATGGTAATAAATAATAAATAGGCTACCTATTGTGATTTAATTATAAGCTAAAGGCTAATAAAAAAGTGATCTTTAGCTTCAATCTTTGACCAACTTCTCCTGTCTCTCAAGTCTAAATTAGTAACTAAACTATCAGAAAAACAACAAAGATAAGCTGTAAGCCCCTACACTGGCCCTACAGTTTAATTAATGTATGTAGGGCCTATGTTATGTAGTGTGTAGGAATTAGGAATGTAGGTTATAATAGTTATGTTATTTTAATACTTAGACTTTAGACAGATCTAGAACTATTAGTATTTTAAATAATTATTCGATAACTCTATCCCTATACTTAGATACTTACTATACTAGAATACTAGATCTAGTATACAACTTCTACTTCTATAAGTATAAGTTGTTGCTAATAAAAGCCTAATGGTAATCTATCATTTTAGGTACGTAAAATCGTCCGAGACTAGTAATGTGAAACAAAGGTGACTCATTAAATTTTAGTAATTATTTCACATTTTTAGGAGGATTTGTTTTGAAAGTTACAAAAATGTTTCAGTTTTATTAATGTACCTGTTTTAAAACAATTGTATTAAAACTTTTCAGTATAATAAAGACTAGCGATGTTTTCATCAGATGCAACCAAGCTCATTTACTTTAGCAGCCATCATGTTTTTTTTTGTAAAATTATAGTTAAAGATTCAGGGGAAAACACTCTTAGTACTTACAGATGGCCGCTATTTATATAACGCAAATCTTGCTCGCAAACACTGCTGTTTAAAGTTCATTTCTGGCCTATAAATTTATAAATTATTAGATATAGGCCTAGATATTGAAATATTTAGGTAGCCTTTAGTCTTTAAAACTCTTTAGCCATTGATTTTGATTTATTATTCTGTTATCTATAACGAGCCGACCCGCGGCGTATCATACGCCGCTATTTAGTTGTTTTATTTTCTACTTTTCAGTAATTCATAATTTGTGAATTCGACAGTACCAACGCTGCCACTGAAAATATTTGCTCTAAAACACTATCAATCAGTAGCTCGTTAAGGACGATAACCCCCTTTTTTTTCACATTACTAGATCTAGTATTTTTTGGTAAGTACTTAAGTACTACTAGATCTAGGTAGTACTGATAGTACTTAGTACTAGATCTAGATCTAGGCTCGGCCGATTTTAATGATATTTTAAATTAATCGGATTTGTGGTAGAATCTAGATCTAGAATATCTAGCTAGATTCTTGTATTTTGTACGCACCTAACCTAACGGGTCCTAACGAACGATAGATTACAAGCCGTTATTAATTATATTATTATTTTATCCAGTAGATCTACTTGAGTATTACACTTTAGAAATCTATATAATAATACTAGATCGAATACTTTGTGTGTATTTTTTTAGGTTACTTAGAAACAAATAAATACATAAACTAATTACAAAATTTCGTGATTTAGGCCCAATGCTTTGTTATTGAAAAACGTTGTCTTCAGGTCTGTGTAACTCAGGAAGTTAAAAATAAAAGTAAAATAAAAAGATTCGAATTTAGAATTCTAATTCTTTTTAAATTTATTTGATCTAGAATCTAGGCCTAAATCTAGATCTAGATCTAGATTATATTTTATTTATAGTAGCTTAGGCTCTCCCCTCTCACCTAAACCCAAAATAAGCCTCATTAGAAAAAAAGAGTTGTAGGCTTGTGGCTTGTAGATCTAGATCTAGATAGATCTAGATCTAGTAAGTAGAGTTGTAGGCCTCTTTATTTTCCAAGCTTCAGTCAAACGATGGCTTTAACAAATTTCACATATGAGCTAAGTCGCCAATGACAACACACTTCTTTTCAAATCTTAGCCAATTTATTGTTGCTTATTACTTTAAAGTAACCTTGTAGACTAGACTAGATCTATCTGTTAGGGCCATTGTGTTAAAAATTACTGCAGTGTTTCTTCCAGACTTTTCTCTCCGGGGGGGGGGGGGCACTTGAAATCTTCGGGGGGGGCGGTAAACTTTCTTCGGGGGGGGGGGGGGCGGACACTGTTAAAAGTATATATTTTGTATATAAATTATATAAATTTCATTTCGTTCAGGGGGGGCGGTAAAAAAATTTCGGGGGGGCTTCGCCCCCCCCCTCCCCGAAGAGATGCCTGGAAGAAACTCTGAATTACTGGGGAAAGGATGTGCAAGATCAAAGGAAAATTAACTCCTTCTTCGTGTAGCACAGAGGCGTAGCGATGGGGGGGGGAGGTACATGTGTCCCCGGGCGCTGACCTTAGGGGGCGCCCAAATGGGTTTTAAAAACAAACTAAAATGTCATTTTAGCTGCATTTTAGCAGTTTGCGGGGGGGGGGGGGGGTGCAAATCGAAAGTTTGAGGGGGTGCAAAAAGAAAGTTTAAGGGGGGGGGGCGCCAAATAGATAGTTTTTCCCCGGGCGCCGGGAAGAGTCGCTACGCCTCTGGTGTAGCAATATTTTGTTATAATAAACCTAAAACAAACATTTTGAAATCGTTCTAATAAAAAGGCTTAAGATCTAGATTTTAAATTGGTCTCCTATAAAAAAAAAACAGAACAATATTGATTTCTTTATATATAGTCTATATCAGAGGCGTAGCGAAGAAGGTCTACCCCCCCCCCCCTCCGAACGAAATGGAATTTATATAGAAAACATACTTTTACCAGTGTCCGCCCCCCCCCCCCCCCCCGGAGAAAAAAAGTCTGTAAGAAACACTGGTCCGACCCAGAGGCGCCAAAATGGGTTCGGAAAAAAAATTAAAAGTTCATTATTAGCTGCAGTTTTCATTTATAAACATTAAAATATATGGGGGAGGGGGGGTGGGGGCAGGAGCGCCAAATTGAAAGTTTGTCCTCGGGTGCCGGAAAGGGTCGCTACGCCTCTGGTCTATATAATATAGATCTAAGAGCATTATGTGTTTGATACCAATATCGATCTAAGAAGTAGATCTATATGAATGTTGTTGTGTTTTTGTTTGCCTATCTTATTTTTAAAAATATGGAAAAAATGTATGTCATACACCTTGACCTCAAGGCTTATAGTATAGATAATAATAAGTAGATAATATTACTAAATGAACAATCCATCTGTACTTAAGCTAGAATAGGGCCACAACTGACAGCACAGTAAAATGTGAATATTATAGATCTTATTCACGTAAAATAAAACAAAAAATCCCAACATTTTTTTTATCGCGCTTTACCAACAATCAAATAGGTTGAATCATAATTTAAAAAAAAACACAAACATTGTTCTAATCCGACGAATATGTTTCAGATCCGGACAAACGAATGTTGGAACCCTAACAAATTCAAATCTGCACAGTGTTTCTTCCAGACTTTTTTCTCCGGGGGGGGGGGGGGGGAGAGGCACTTGAAATTATCGGGGGGGGGGGGGGGGGGCGGTAGACTTTCTTCGGGGGGGGGGAGGGGGGGGGACACTGTTAAAAGTATATATTTTCTATATAAATTATATAAATTTCATTTCGTTCGGGGGTTGGGGCGGTAAAAAAATTTCGGGGGCCACGCCCCCCCCCCCCCCCCGAAAAGATGCCTGGAAGAAACTCTGAATCTGCAGGCTTTTCACCCATCCTCGAGCAGCGCCCTTAGAGATAAATGGTTACGACCAACGGTGCAACAACGTTCAACGGTCTGTACAGAGTTTCTTCCAGGCATCTCCCCCCCCCCCTTACGAGATGGAATTTATATAGTAAACATACACTTTTACTAGTGCCCGCCCCCACCCCGAAAAATGTTTACCGCCCCCCCCCCCCCCCCCACGAAAATATCAAGTGCCCCCCCCCCCCCCGGAGAAAAAAGTCTGGCAGAAACACTGAGATTGCCTATATGGAGAGACGTCTTATTTCATTTTCTATTGTTAAACAAATTTCGAATGTAGGTAATCTTGCTTTAAAGCAGTTTCGTATGCATAGAAAAAATAGAGGGGGGGGGGGGGCAGTGTTTCTTGCAGACTTTTTTCTCCGGGGGGGGGGGGGGCACTTGAAATTTTCGGGGGGGGGGGGCGGTAGACTTTCTTCGGGGGGGCGGACACTGTTAAAAGTATATATTTTCTATATAAATTATATAAATTTCATTTCGTTCGGGGGGGGGGGGGCGGTAAAAAAATTTCGGGGGGGGGGGGGGCTAAGCCCCCCCCCCCCCCCGAAGAGATGCCTGGAAGAAACTCTGGGGGGGGGGTCAGAGGGGGGTTAAAAAACACTTCCCTAAATTAAAATAAAACTTGTCTCTCGTCAAGGCACGGATACGTTCGTGTAGCTTTATAAATTATATCAATAATTTCAAAATGTCGAATATCATATAAAACAACACTTTTATTATCTTTAAATCCACGTGTGGATCACTGCCACTATTTTTAAAGAGCACAATAATAATTAGAAGCAGTATCTGAGTTTCTTTCAGACATTTCGAAACTTTCGATGGAAGGGCGGGGTGGGGGGGGGGCTTAAATTTTCTGGGGAAGCGGACACATGTTGAAGTATGTAGGGCCTAAAATAAATTGTATTTCGTTGGAGAAAGTAGACACGTGCCCGAAAGAAACTCTGAGCTCACTGGAAGCCTTGTCTACTCTCATGGTAAACTCGCTGTTATATAAGAACTATTGAGCTGATTAAAGCGTGACTAATTATTTGTTTCAAGTATATTAAGAAGCAGTTTTATATTATTTTAACTATCTGAAAATGGCAATAGGATCAAATGGGGATAGGGTCTCTTGCTAACCCATGTAATGAAACCTGCTGCTAATTAAAGAAACTGAGGACTCAGTCTGTTATTTAATTTGTTATTTGTTAGCGTGGTCGGATAGTTACTTTGTTTTATCTGGACCACACATTTAGAGCCTACATTACAAAGTCTTGTCCATTTTTTTAAAAAAAGGAGTTTTTTGTATTTCCATTCTCCCGTGTTCGCAAGGCCCCCTCTCATAATAGCGCTATAGTATAGTAAGTGGCCGAATACGGACGTAAAGTCTATCTGATGTCCTATGTAGGCCTAAAACTTTCTAAATACGTTGACTGTCAGCTTGATATTATGACCTATATGTAATATTACTCACGGTTTCATGTTTAGTTTGTTTTCAGGATGATGAGTACAAGATATCATAGCCTATATCGTTAATTTATTCCAGAATAGTAGCAAATATATATTATTTATTTTTATCTTTAAACTAAAAATAGTCATACTGTTTACTAAACGATATAAAGCTAGATCTATTAACATTTTGAAATAGAAAGTTTTTTGGTAAAACCCTTAAAAAGTCAATTACATATATAGATCTAATCAATATACAATATAGAGCTACATTCTAGTCCGAAACACATGATGATAGTCTATGTATAATCACATAATGTCAGCGCAGAAAGCTTATGATATAAGAAATATTAAACTTTTTAAGGCCATTTTGAAGTTAATAGGCTCAAACACTTGATCCAACGTATTTGTATGCAATGTTATTCTGAATAGTTATATTATTTACTGTCAGTAAAACAACCTACATAATTTAATGCTGTACAAATTTTAAAAAATTCATGGTTAAATGGGTGCTAGTTAGACGACGTAGAATCCAGATTTGCCTTGACGTCGATCAATTACGCAGTCGTCGTATTATGGTGTTTTAAACAATGGTCGCGTCTATTTAAAGTTTATTTATTTTATCCCTGAAGATTTTAATATGTTTGTGATTTCCAGTTTCAATCAAAAGCGATAAAAATGCCCCCTTTTAACTGTTAAATTGTATCCGCGATCTGCTTTTGAGAGAAAGAAATTTGTTCAAAATGGCGGCATGCTTCCTATGTTAGTCAAATATATGGGTACAAAATTTAGTTTTTAAAACTGTATAATCGGACAAAAAAGCACATATGTATGAAAAAAATATATTTGAAAGCATGTTGCCCATGTTTTAAATGTTTAATCGACAAAATATTAAGGGTAATGTTGAAGGGAATGGGGAAATAGTTTGATATCACAAAACGGAGGTCATGGGTTTTCGAATTGAAAATGGCGATCTCGGCTATCGTGTTTACAAGTTATTTTATTAGGATATTAAACTAATTTGGCAATAAAACATTAACAAATTTGGTTTATTATATTCTGTAAAAACAACAGATTGTTTAAAACCTAAAAACTCAATTTATAAATACTTGTTCGATTTTAATTTTGAAATAAAAGTTGGTTATCGAGGGGTTCAAGATGCACCAAGTGTGCTATGTCGACATACAAAAATATTTTTTAAAGCAATTAAAAATGCTCTAAAAATTATAAAAAACTGTTATGATCATGCAAAATGAAGTTCTAGATAATTTTTAGTATGATATTCAATTATGTATGGAGTTTAAAGCATTTATTTTGAATATCGTAGCATGTCAACATTACACTTCAGTCGAACATCTATCGACTAAACTAGAGATTTTAAAATGTTTTCTAAGCTAACTTCTATAGCATTATATATCAAAAGAAAGTTTATGAAAGGCCAAATATTTTAGTACAAAAGCGATATTTTATCTCAGTT